GAGATTCTAGAAAAAAAACATGATATTTATTTACGGAATTAAGCACCCTAATGTGACATGTATACTTACTTCTCGCTAATTTGTTATACCTGATACATTACCGATCGCCAAATCGAATGAGTAATATCTAAAAATACACTTCACTTAGGTGTGAATGAGTACAAACAAATACTAAAAATAAACAAGTGTCTAGCGATAAATCTAGGTCAAATCATCAAACTAGTTTGGTTCTATTTCTATGAATGAAATGGATTGTAAACAAAACATACTATTACAACGCCTAAACGTCATATTGGAAGCTCTCTCATTTCTCTCTTTCTACCTATAGTTGAAGGTCGTCAAGTTCCTATCTTAAACAGTGTTAGTGAACATTCGGCGATTCCGGTTGATTGTGTTTACGTCTACCTACTTGTGTTTATGTTTGTCACATGTTATGCACCAGCTACATAAAACAGACGCATGCGCAAGGTGTGCTTAATTGAATGCTATAAACGAAACGTGAACGTAATGTTTTCAGTTGTAAAGAACACCAAATTTACTGCAATGATCCTCAATTTGAGACTGCATTTGTAATACAGACTACCACTGCTGTGCGAATGAAAGAGTAATTAAAACGTCAATTATTATGATGACACACTACAATGATAATATTGTGATAATTTCATTGAAATTCTAGGACTTTCATGGTTCACTAAATTTTATTATCTTACATGAACAACTGGTGTTAATAAATTAACAAGTTCAATTTAAAAATGGATTGGTTAATATATGACAGATTTTTTTTTTTATAAACTGGATGCAACACACTTGTTGGTATAAACGAGCATATATACAACCGTATACTTTCAGACAAACTTGCTCACTCACAACCTCGCTGATACTGAATGTTCAGTTCTGTGTTGGCATTCAATAGTGCTTCACGCGTCGTTATTCCGCGAGTAAACTGAAACCTGTTGCTGCTACATATAATGCGTCGTTGTTGAAGATTTGTTTTCTGTAGAGCATGATGTCATAGCTCTCACGTTATTGATTTTATACAGTGTAGTAATGAACTAAGGCAGCCGATAAATACATTTATGAAATGAAAAGGTCGTACTTGTCGTGTAGAGTGATTTACAAAAGTGAAGCTTAACGGATTCAGATGCTACCAATATCGTTTTTTCATCGTTAGCAATTCGAGACATGTGATCGGAATTCATTTCAAAGCACAGAGTGCGACAAGCATTCCATATGAATTAGCATATACCAGTGAAACGAAGACGGGTTTGCATATGAAATGAATTGATAATTCGGCAGCATTATCAGCGCAAGGTCTTTTCGCATAACCCGGCATAACTCGCTAAAATGAGCTCAGAAGCCGGTTCTAGTGACCATGACGCAAAGCGTCGTAAAATATCTCAAAGCGTTATTTTGAGAAAAACAACTAAAGAAACAAAAAATCAGAATGAAGACGATAAAGACGCTACGAATGTAACCTACCATTATGAAGAAAATGTTCAACATTATGAGGAAACATTTGTTCGTGAAAATGTTGGATACCGGCAATCTAAGAATGTCGGCAGTATCGAACAAACCAATAGTTCCTGGTATGATGCTTATCGTGCTCGTGTAGTTAAACATTTAGGAGATGCTAACCGGCATTATGGAACATCTGAATATGATGTTCACATTTTGGAAAAACGAGGTAAGCGAAGGCCCTCATCTATTATGCATCAAAGATTCATCAGTATTGAAAGATTTAATATATTGCAAATTGTCAAAAATGTAGAGTATATTTTATTTTGCTTTGCGCGATGATTAAATATAAAGAAGATTGATGAAGAATTTGTAGATTTCCTACATACCGGTGAAGCGCGATGTGAGAAGATGTATATATGTAGATGCGTGAAATGTAAACCGATTTTTCGTAGATTGATTGGCTTGCGTGAGATTTTTCTAGCATCTTAGAATTGAGATTCAAATGTGTCGCCTCCGATGTCCGTAGTTCGTTTTGTCGAAGGTCATTTCACCGATTTCAATTATGACCTCTTCTATGAATCATTGAGTTGATGATGTTCAAAATATGAAAAAAACATGAAAGTTAAACCCCGCAAGCTCTCAATCAATAAGTGGAAGTACTTGAAAGAACACAAGTTGGGGTAGGCGTAAACTCGTGTAAGAGCGTCAAATCCGGGAAGAAAAAGAATGTATGTAGTAGCTACACATGGATAAAATCACAGTCTCGTAAATTGGCAAAAGATTGCATTTCCAACCAACTCTGAAAGTGGTGTGTTTTGGAACTACCTACTATTTACGCCTAGAATTGACGTGAGGGTTATTTTGAGTGCTGAAAAATCTTGTAGAGAGTTGCTGAGCAGATCTGTTTGTTTTTTGTTAAGCGAATTCGTGATTCTTCGATTATTTGTGTTGGGGGCCGCTGATAGCCTAGCTTGAAAGGCACGGTATTACCAAGCCGGAGGCAGGGGGTGCGATATTCCAGGATGGACATTTTCTCGACTTCCCTGGGCATAGAGTATCATTGTGCTTGCCACAGAATATTCAAATTCATGCATTGGTTAGAACACTTAGTTGAGAACCATCAAAACGGTCGCTACAGAAGCGTAAAAAACCTTTAAGAAGAATAAGTCGTTACTAGGAAATACATATATGTAAACAGCAATTTCTGAATACATGTGCGAATCTGCTTAAAAAATATCACGTTTGAGATTATCATTTTCATGATACCAAAAAATAATTCCAACCCAAAACTCATGAAAACCAGTCATGCTCATTAGGGTGAGTCAACGAAGATGTAATCTTCGTGTTCTCATTGATTTTTTGATCTGTATTGAGGTTTAAAACAAATGTGCCAATTTCAAACGAATTTATTTATGATCTGGCTTTTCGACAAAGCTTTAAAGTTTGTATGGGAAAATGCATGGAAACCGGAACAAAGCTATTTGCTTGTCAAACATCACAGTATGTTTACCAAACGTAAGACATAGATTGAAAAAAAAATCTTTTCAGAACAATGCTTATTAATGAAATAAACTCTGATTAATCCACCTAAAATTTACCAATAAGGGTTGATCAATTTATTATGTTACGGTCTATAGGGGGAAGGAGTGGCTATAAATTTCTGTGATAAGCAATGCATCAAAAAAAGGAAAAACGTGTCGAAATGGGGGTTTAAAATTTTCCTCAATTTCCCGTGACATAATTAATCCGTGGCCATCAGAAACAGCCTTTAGGATGAAACTGTCTTTAATAAAGAAACAAGCCAAACATTCGTAGTCCGCAGCACCAATTTAAGATTGCATATAACACACACAAAAAAAAGATTAATCTTTTTTGCATGTTTGAATTCACGACTTGATTGTTGTTGTTGATGAGAGCTTCTATTATGCAATCTGGCCAGTTCAAAAGTTTGGGCAATTAAAATCCTATCGCCTGTTTTTAAGCCTCAATTACATTTATTTATTTATTTACCAACTCTCCAAGAATTAATTAATTTATCTTTATTAGGGAGGCTTTCAGCCTGGGGCTGGTTCGCTTCCATTCACGATCGCCAAGAGACAGGACGATTGCTTCGAACTTCTACCCAAAAGAAAATGCTCCGAGATTACCATATTTGGGGCGATCAATTTATTATGCCCCTTCCGCCCTTTCGTGACGTTTTTCCTATACCTAATGCATTGCTTGTCCCAAAATCATAACCCCCCTCCCCCTTAGAGCGTGACATAATATGTGCGTTCACTTGCGCAGTTTTTAGAAAATTCTTTTAGAAAATCATGTATTTTTTTTAATGTCATGTGACATATATATGTTTCTGTACTTCAAGAATAATAGCATTGACCTGGAAAAGATTGGATTGATCAGTACTATCGAGCAAAAATGATAAAAGTATTATTTTGAACGATTGTGTTGTACACTTTCCGGGGGTATCTAGAGTTCACGTTTTTGTTCATATCTCCGAATTTCGGGATTAAATTAAATAGTGTTCAATGGGAGTCAGAAACACACAAAATGGAATTTGTTTTACTCAAATCGGTTCAGACATCGCCGAGAAATCGAGTGAGTTACGCACACACTAAATTTCACACACTTATGTCATGAGTCATGAGCAGAACTACCCTACGGCTAAAAATCTCAAAAATGAAATAAAACAAAAAACCTTCCATTGGTATATGACACTTGATCCTCCGGGTCTCGGATCCAAAATGCATTTTTCAAGTGATATTATAGTATTAGTATGCAGATATAACCGATCCAAGACATGTTTTGATGTAACACGGCAACTGTCCCCTGCTACAGGTTCCCCCGGGACATCCCTGTGATCTCAAAACGGCCAAAATGAATCCGGAATCTTCTTGAATCAAAACATCAGAACTTGTTGAATGAAATGAAAATTTAAATATATCATCATAGGAGATCATTTTTAGTTTTTAGAATCGCACTCGCCACACTCAGACTCGTTGTCGTGACCAGAACCTGACAAACGACGCAATATGAGCATTAAAAACGGAAATAGTGGCAAAAACTTTATGCTAAATGACGCTGCTAATTATTCCTATTTATGCCCCTTGGGTCACTTGCCATATTTGAAACTCGTTAATCATCACCAACCAACCCCCATTTCCTTTTCATTCTTTACAATGTAAGTAAGAGAGCGAAACAGAAAGGTGGGTTAAAAGTTCAAAATCTCCCTTATTATCCATGATTTACCGGTCCTGCGTATGGTAGTAATTCTGTGTGCAATGCTATGTAGCAATGTAGGTTTCGATTTATTTTGTTTCCATGACATTGTTTGCACAGGAATTACCATCGTTGACTCCCACGATCAATGTTAGTTCGAAATAAGACATACCGTTGAATAGTTCTGGAGTACGTTTCTGTCCGTCTTATGGATTGGAGTTACATAACAAACATCAAAAGGTTTCAATTTGTACATGTACGACTCTAGAAATCAATATCTGTCATATTTTCTTCAACTAAAATTTTACTTTTCTTCCATTTTACAGATGAACAAGAACGCGTACAAAAGAAAACTTTCGTTAACTGGATAAACTCTTTTCTTTCCAAGGTATGTTGGTTCACATTTAATCGATAAATTATAAAGCAAATAAAAAATTTCATTATCTAATAACTCATATTGATAAAAAAAAATACAATTTTATCAAATTAACTCACTGGTAAACCTAGTACTCAAATTATTTTTCAATTTTGGTACTGATTTTACATTAATGTATTTTTTTCATGGGCTCCCATGAACGATCGATTTTTCATCACCATGACTAAGGGATTGTTTGCGTAAATGGTGATGTGGAAAATTATTGGACGTCCATAAGACAGTACAGGTATCGGTAGATTTTTTATGAAGCAGATTGTGCTTGAGTGCATTGAATGCTATTGAGTCTAGATCTAGCCACTAGCCACTAATCCAACAAACAATGAGATGTTGCAAGATCCATTCGTCTGATTAAACACTTAATGATTGCAGTGGCAGTTTATCAGCTGCGCAATCAATTCAAAATTAAATGATTACAAGTTATTGAAATGCCTGATATTGACTGCACAGCAGATAAATTCCCGTTAGTACCTGGGTACAGTTTAAACATAATAATCAGCCCTAATGAGTCGTATACCTGCACTATATAGCCGATAGGTGAATGAACACTATGAGCAGTTAATACCCCTAATGTCAGCCTAAATGTCCCTAATATTGCTCCCATACATAAAATTCGAAGGAAAGCACTTTTTGACATTTTTTTACTAGCAACCTAAAATATCTATCTGTATGGTCAAGATGACGCACTGTTCTAAGAAAAAAAAATAAGAATAGGAAATTTTTATCGATGGGCTTAACCTTCAGATCCATAAGCCAATATTAGATCCATTTCTGCTATTTGATTTTTTTGTATATTCAATAAAATTGTGATTTCCACATGATACTAAGGCCTTTAATCTAGAAAATGCTATGTAGAGGAAATGGCCCTAATGTGGGCCTGTGGATCTAAGATTGGGCTCATCTCTAAAAATCTGCTATTTACCAATTTTATCTAGATGAACGCGTCATTGGGACGGTACTAATGGATATATTTGGTCTCTATTGAAGATTTAGTCGATTGCTGAATTTATGTATGGGCCCAAATTAGGGGAATTTAGGTCGACATTACATCCATTTCCCCTATATAATAATAAAAAAAAAGAAAGATTAAGATGTACAGAGATTTATAAATAGAGAGGGTTACTATTGGGCCTTTTATGTCCAAATATTGATTGGTTGATGTTTTAGTGTTTCGGAGTCGTGAGCCTTGTTAGTTGCTATGTTGCCATCGATTTAGGAGTTATCTGTTGCAGCTGCTAGTGGATACCAGCTCGGTCCATGTTTCGTACCAGGTTGTCATCGTCTTGTGTATTATTACATATTTTGGGTGTGGCCCTGTGGTTTCTTCTTCTTCTTTTTTATTTAACGTCGGTCTCTGTTTCGCAATCGATTGCCAATCACCGATGACCTCAGTTGCCAATTGGTGATTAATCACCGATGGCAATCAAGGGCCACACCTGGAACCTTTCGTGGGCCACACCTGGAAGACGTGACCAAAGATTTTTTTTCGCCTCAGGAAAATCTCAACAACCTCGGCTGGACTCACTGTTCATTCTAGGATTTTCTTGGTGCTGTAGTTTGTTAGTTACATTCTCGGTTCTGGATGTATGCTGGATTGATTGATTTGAATTCTTTATTATTAAGACTCTCAGGCATTTGCTGGTTTGTCTATGTGTACACTGGATCTTAAGATCAATGTAGGGTCTATTTTCGTGTTCCGTTGTACCTGGTACAGTCTTTGGTCTGTCATGAATGCTACCAAAAGTGACTCTCAAGTCGGATGTTTACTTAAAATATCCCCCAGGCTGATCTGGTGGTACAGGTACAGAGGACTTGCTGTTCACACATGTTAATCTGTCAGGTGGCCCGAGCAATTGGTATAGCCCGAGAGTAGAAGTCGCACGTGTTCTCGAAAGCGTCCTTATTAGTCCTATTAACGGGCTTGATGGTTACTTGGGCATGTTTCGTGTTACGTTTTCACCATTTTGTGTTTTTAGGGGCTCTAGGTGTGGTGAACGTCATTGTAGTTTTTGTTTCGTGTCGCGTTGTCGAATTATCTTAAGATTCTTAGTGTGGAATTATTTGTTGCCTTCTCGATTCCTGTTGTATCTGTGTCGGCATAAATGGTGGATATTGCTGGAATGGTTTTCGTGTTCAATGTATCTTTCATGTTCATTCCTTAATATGAAAGCTAGTATAACTTGCTGGTCTCTCCAGTTTTTGAAATCTGCCCGTTTGCCTTTTGGTGCCTATTCGTAAGAAAGTTCGTTTTTCGCATTCTAAGCATGAGCATTTGACCCAATTATTTACTCCACGTAGAGGAATCTCATCCCTACCTAGTACCTATTGCCCGACCGTCGGGTATTCCCGTTCATTACCAGTGATGTCACGTTGTATGCTTTGTGATTTGCATTGCGACATAGTTGATTGCATGGATCTGTTGAGCACGCTGGCTGAATCGGATACGATGGCTTTTCTAGAGGGACCTGATTTACTGATGGCCGACCCAAATTTCACAATCCTAATTTTGCCTCTACCGTTCTAGAAAATTACCGGGTAATCTCGAATTTTGTTACCACTTACAGTTGTGTGTTGTAATTAATTTTGCTGAAATTCAGTAAAACATTTTGATTGAGTGTGTAGTCATTGAATCGATGTACAGTTAGAGTGGCCCGAAATCGATGCTGGAATTTTAAACTCATCGTCCATCACCAGTTCGAGTGTGGTGAAGTAAGCACAAAGTCCGAATCCTGACAAAATTCTGTCAAGCTGTCGATCGCCTAGGATTTTTTTTTAAAATCTTTATTTTAGAGATTTTTAGCCGTCTAGGAGGTTGTCGGCTCACAGAAGATGAACCGTAAAATTGCAACAAGACAGAGGTCTTCTTTGAATATTACGTCCCAACAAATCCGAAAAATTCCTGGAATGAACCGGAAATCGAACTAAGCCGCCTCCTGCATGATCTTGATTTTAGCTACATCTTCACAAATTAATGTTAGGGAACTGAGCCAAAGAGGAGGAGGCAGGGGTATACGAAAAATGTCTGGATCTTAGGATTTTCCTTCACAATTTGCCAGCACATATATACACAGCAAAAAATTCTGAATTATAATTGTGATGTAAATATTCATTCACGTAAACCTGTATTTCATTTCACGCAAACGAGCAGCTTGAGAGCAATGTTGTTTACAAATATGGGCTTTTGTATAAAATATTTGCAACATTTCATGCAACGTAGCAAATATTGTATACAAAAACTCATTGTTGTAAATAACATTGTTTACAAGTTTCTCGGTTGCGTGAAATGAAATTCAAGTTTACGTGAATGAATGTTTACATCGCTATTAAAATTCAGAATTTTTATCTGTGTAGTTACAAATATTTTGTAATATTCAACGACAAACTGGAGCAGTAATTAAATGAACTAAAGTGGAAATTTACACGTTCATTTAAATTCGTATCCTTGTTCGTTGAAAACTAAATTAATTTCAGCTGACATTTACGTTGTCAACACAGATGAATGTAAAATTCAATGCCAATCAATAGATTATTCAATACTTTCAAGTAAAATTAAAGATGAATTACTGTATGTTTCAACTAAGGTTGGAAAATAAATCCAATTGTAATCGCGCACGGGACTTTCCTACGTTGTGTGATTAATAGATTTTTTTTTTTTATAATTACTTTATATGTACAGGCTCAATCGAATAAACTTTACAGAGCCGAGTTATCCTTTGCGTTATACATTATTACTGTCTTAAATTTAAAGTTAAAGGAACTGGACCGAGTACTCGCGGTTGTCTTGAGGTTAGTGGAGATTTACAATTTTTTGGATGGGAAAAGGGAAGAAGGAGGTTTGAAATGTGGTTTACGATACAACTATTTAATTAATCCTAAAGCATGAAATTATTTCTATTCATCTTGAAAACAAACATTGAAAAAAAAAAACCCACACGTACAAAATACAAACTAAACACAAGGTTAATCAAACTTACAATCTAAGGTTAATATCCTTAAAGTAAACATATATGAGTTTCATAAACTCCAGATCGCGTCTAGCCAAAATATCCCGAACTGGAACATTAGGTTGTCTACCTCGAGCCCGAAGGGAATCATAAAAATGTGATCTGACTCCACGATACTCCGCACAAGACCAAAGGATGTGATCAGCGTCCTGGTAACCTTGTCCACATTCACAGAGATTGCTGTCTCCCAACCCCACACGGAACAAGTGAGCGTTTAGACAATAGTGATTGGACATGAGACGAGACATCACGCGTATGAAGTCTCGACTCAAGTCCAACCCTTTGAACCATGCAAACTTCGACACCTTAGGGATAATTGAATGTAGCCATCGTCCCAAGCTCCCTTCACTCCATTGATGTTGCCAGCTAACGAGCGACTGCTGACGATAAATAGAGAAAAATTCACTATAGGCGATCTGTCGATCATAAATGTCGCCTTCCATAGCGCCCACCTTCGCAAGTGAATCCGCCTTCTCATTGCCCAAAATTGAGCAATGCGAAGGGACCCACGCGAAGGTGATGATGAAAGAGCGCACGGATAAAGTACTAAGCAGTTCTCGTATTTTCAAGAGAAAATACGAGAAGTGCTTTACCGGCCTAATGGAACGGATAGCCTCGACAGAACTGAGACTATCCGTAAAAATAAAGTAGTGGGCTGGAAGAAGTGAAGCAATAGTTTCCAAAGTGTAGTGAATTGCTGCCAGTTCAGCCACATACACAGAACAAGGAGCTTCAAGTTTTCGAGAGGCGCTATGAAATTCATTAAATATACCAAAACCAGCGGACTCCTCTATTAGAGATCCATCTGTGAAAAACGTTCTTGCAGAATCAATATGGCCAAACTTTGCAGCGTATAATGACGGAGCAATCATAGGACGATGATGCTCTGGAATTCCGCGGATTTCCTGTGTCATAGATAAATCAAAATTCACTGAATTGCCGAAATCGGAG